TCCTGTTCCTTATGGATGTGTCTTAAATATTACTGTTAACTCCTCTGTAGACTCCTCCTTCCTTGTTCACTTGTCATTAAGAACACAATATATATACATTATAAAGCTGCTTTGATAAGGGTAAAAACAGATCTGAATAAGATCAGGGTATACATGTGTTAGTAAATGTCTGTTGCTCAGGGGGCATGATCCAGACTTCTAAAGATTTTAAGACTTGTTATTGATTGTTTAGTTAATGTTGAGATGGTGGCAAACAAAAGTAAACATTATAAAACCAAACAAAATATACATAATGGGTTTGTTAAGCTTTGAGGAGTATTTAGACATGTTGTATGAAGACTTGGAGTTCTTTTTTGGTAAAATACTAAGAGTTACATAGGGGTTTTTACAAAAACAGTTTGGAGATTTATTTATTTGTTTCACTTATATAAAGCTTTGAATTTTTCTTTGCAACAGGGGTGATTAGCCCAGAAATTAAAATGCCCTTTAACAGAGAGGCTTTTATATCTCTAACTTCCAAATGTGAGAGAAATAGTATGAGTAAATCACAGAATATATTATTTTACTTGGACTTACTTGTCCGTTTTGGAAATGCAAATGATGAATGGGCTGTTTCCTGCCTTTCCTCTTCATCTATTTAGAGTCTAATGTTATAAATAAATGTTTCACTTTTCACCCTAATTTTTATAGGGTGAAAATTGTTGCCTACCAAAATGAGATTTGTGTGAGGTTTTATGTATATTCCTTCTCTAGTGTAGAATCATTTAGTTAATTTATATCACTCTATGAATAAATATTGATTGAGAAATACATTTACCAACTCTGCTTGAAAACGGTGAGAAGAGGCCTGGTGCAGTGGCTCACGCCTGTAATCCTAGCACTCTAGGAAGCTGAGGTGGGAGGATCGCTTGAAGTGAAGAATTTGAGACGAGCCTGAGCAACATAGCAAGACCCCATCTCCATAAAAAATAGAAAACTTAGCTGGCTGTGGTGGCACATGCCTGTAATTCCAGCTCCTCAAGAGGCTGAGGCAGGAGGATTACCTGAGCCTGGAAGTTTAAGGTTGCAGTGGGCTATGATGATGCCACAGCACTGTATCCTGGGTAACAGAGCAAGACCCTGTCTCATACACACACACACACACACACACACACACACACACACAAAACAGAAAGAAAGAAAATGGTGAGAAGAGCTTGGTTGATGTGTATTTAAAATGCACAGTGACCCTTAATCTCTCAGTCCTTTCCACTACAGAACAAACTTAATAGGAAGAAGAGATTAGAGTATCATCCACACATGTTTTTGTATCACTTAAAATATGTAAAGGTGATTTAGACTAGTGATTCTCAGAGTTTTTGATCTTCCCTTTATACTTTTTTTAAAAAGTTTTGAGACGTCTATGAGCTTTTGTTTATGTGAGTTGGTTATCAACATTTACCATAT